CCAGGAGACTGGGTCACGTAGATCCCGTTTAGGTCCCTGGCTGGAGACCCCGAGATCATGGTCACTGATGGTTAAAGACACAGCGATATGGATGGGTGTGGCAAACAGTGGCGTTAGTGCATCTTGTCAAGTTCTCCGCAACATTCGTTCACTAAGATTCTGAAGTTTCTTTTTGATCCTACTTTCAACCGTTCCTATCTTTCTCCTAATGTTCATCCAAATAGGCAGCGAAAGGCAGCAACCGAAACCGGCGCACGATAGTGCATGGCTAATGGTTGTACGAACTGAAACGGAAAATGATGGCAAAAGCTACATTTCGCTTTCCCCGATTTTCTATGTTTCCGTCGCACAGTTCACAAGGCTGTTTCATTATACCGTCAAACCCAGTCCACCAATCATGGTAGTGTTTAACCATCCAAATAGTACCGTAACTAGAGGACAGGTTGCGCTTGTTTCTGTACGCGCTATGCTCACCGAGAATAACAATAGTGTACGGTCCAGGTACCTCACCGAACGTGTCCGCATGCCACTGATTTTGCGAATAATTTCTAACTTAGTTTAGAATAGGCCTTGTTTACCCATTAGGTGAACTCCGTTGTTTTTAGACCAAACTGGTTTACCTGAGTAGCCGAAGAAACCCCAACCGGAAGAACTGGACTTGTTTTTTGGCTTGTTGAGTCTCACCAACGCACATCCATCGATCCGACTGATGATCGAGTCTCACGTGAAGAATGCAATCATTTGACTGACCACTGGGCGTTTCTAGTTGTTTGCTCTTATCCTTTGTACAGAGTTTTTGCATTAGTAGCGTTTCGCTCCTGTTTTATGGTCACAGTATATCATTTTGCTGATTGCGTTTTCCGCGCGATAGCAAGAAAAATAACATTTATGTGTTAGGGTAGAGTAAATATTCACCGTGTTTCCTGCTCAACATCTTGTCCAATTCGTACTCATTTTCTCTACGGGTCAGCTATCAATTCAATTTGTGAATCCTCAGTTGTTTCCGCTTCAGGTACTAACTAACCGGTGACTTGTATTTCACCGTTTTCTTGCATCCTTTATGCAACTTTGGATGACGGACAGGTTTAGTGAATCACTCCACGAAGAAATTGGTTGCGAAAAGTTCTCATAGCTGTATCTCACTTCCTACAAATCTGTTTCTGAACAAATAGGCTTTTCTCTTGGTTTTTCCCTTTGTATTTCCAGAAATGTTATTTCTGCCTCACTGACTGAGTACCCGCGTCCGTTGGGTTTTCTCACCATAAAGTTTTGTTATTAACAGGTTGAATTTAATAGAACATCCGTATTTGGCCGTTTTGTACACTGAACTGCTCTTCCTCACAAAACTTGGCATCCTTGATCGTCGCACTCGTATATATTGTTAAACACATCGGAAGCTATGCACACACACAACATATATATATATATATATATATATATATATATATATATATATGTATATATAATACGTCTCGGGTTAACTCAACAATTAGAATGTTCAGAGGCAGAGGCGGCCCAAACAAACTTTGGTCCCCTGGGCACCGGGAGGCATAATGTCGAATGTACTGATGCTATTGGCAATCTTCTGTACACGCAAACGAATGCGAATGTGATCTGTTGCCGGCCTAATCGATACACACTGGGACCTGCCGATTCGCCTTGTCTTTACGGTATTTACTTTCGATTTCCACAGTCGCCAAGTCGTTTACGGACACAATAGATACCAAAAGGCTTAGTCTCCTAGGCAAAAGTACTTATGTTGTTGCATAGTTTGTGTATCAGGTGAATGATTTTGATTGGCTCATGATCTATTGGACCTCCTGTTTCACTCAGTCATTATACTACCTGTGTTTCTCTCCCAGGGGTCGCTCAATAGATTTTCTGATCTTAGTCGGCACATGCTGACAGCACTTATCTGTATACTGTACCCTTTCTAAACTGAATGAGATTCGAAAAGGCGCTGTAAACTAAAGCGACGCGTGGTGTAATATTCCGGGGTTCCTTAACCGTGTCAACTTTACGCTGCTTTCGAGACCCAACAAAGTTGCAGTTGCTGTCCAATGCTTCTCAGTTTTTTCGTGCATCGTTCCTTTGACGTCTTGTATCCTTTTATTAAATATATGATGATACAACTTTTCAGGAAGAGGAATCGACCACTCAAAGGGCTGCCATAAATCATATGGAGAACAGAGGAAGTCAGGCAGGCAGTTGGGGTGGGATTCCAGCACATACGTTCTCCGGGGGCGGTAATTTGGTGACCTATTGCTGTTTGATCCACATCTTGACAGTCACTACTAGACTACCTAGTTTGAATCAGCGCAGTCTGTTCGATGCGTGATTCAAAGCATTCACATGCNTATCTCTCAAAGATCCGTCGGGGTAGCATGCACGTTAGTCTTGCTTAAATTATTTGAGCGATGATAGCTACAGCAGGGGTTGTCAGCGCGTCTGACGAAGGTCCACTACACAAATTTGCATATCACTGTTCGCGCTCAACACTTTATGCCTTCGCTTAACTTGTTCATTCAATACTTTTAGCTCTAGACTGTCGGAATGGTGTTCTTAAACAAACGAACAAAAAAACGCATTCGGCAGTCTTGATCAATCGCTATTGTCCAATATAATTGCCAAAAATTGTGGTAATCCAAACGTTTGTAGGTTGATGCTTGATTGTTTCACGAACAGAAGGAATTTCGCGTGACTGAACGGCGAGAAATCTACTCGCTCTGTTGCCTCTGGTGTTGTACAAGGTGCACTCTTTCCTCCGTTTTTCTTTTCGATGTATGTCAAGTAATTTTCCATTCCTTCTGCATTCTTGGACTGCAAATACGCGGTCGATGCGTTGTTTGAGTATGCGAAGCGCTCACCCTTGAAGAGGCTTCAGAAATTCAAAGCAAGCTAAACGACTTTGTTGTTAGTTGGTCCCTGCTCCGTTCCCTCTCATTGAATGCCCTAAAATATCAGGATGTGTTTTCTCTGTTGGTCGATAAACCATATTCAACACTCACAGATACGTTTCCTAACTTTTCTACCAACCATACGCCTGCCGACGTCAACAATGGTAAATATATTGGCATCACACCATCACACAATTTATCATATCCGTCGCATGTCCAGGGCACATTCTGTAAAGTTAGAAAGCTTTCCTATTCCTCACTACGATTAAGAATACTTTCTGTTCCCCGGACCATGATGTATATTTATAAATAGCACCACCCACCTTCATTCATCACAGCCCCAGACAAATGACCTATATCCGGGCGTTAAGTAAACATTCTTGTACGACAAATTATTTGTACGAGCATGATTGGGATTCCCCGAGAACACGTTTCCCAATGCCGTCATGTGAATAATATTAAATTGCGGGTCGTGTGTTGAAAACCATTCCATACATTACTGGGAGATTCAAATGACAAGGAAATCCATAGATTTTCGATGTGAAAAAATGAAAGCAGTCAATGAGAAATTCCAGTTTTTGACTGGTTTCCTGGTAGTTCTTTGTACAGATAAATCTAACATTCGCATTCAACTCACGGTTATCTGTAGAATAATTGGTATTAATTTGAACTGACTGTTCATCAGACTTCACCTTCACATGGATTCCTCAACTCTTCCATACTAACCACACACTCCGAAGCCCTGGACCGGAGTTTGGCTGTTGTTAGAGTTCATCGGTAATACATGTCTATCGTCTCGTCCGGGCTTTGAACTCTGGACTCATTCCATGTGAGGCTCGTGTGTTACCACTGTGCCAACCAGGACTGAATCAAATTGCCTAATCATGCTTGTTCAGGTGTCGTCTCCAGTGGTAGCCATTCAGTTTCTGCCCGACAGTAACGAAGTGAGTCCCAGTTGATTATCGAAAGCCCCCACCAAATTAGGTCTTAGGTGCAGTTTACGGTTTGACTTAGCTGAAGCTTACTAGGCTGGATTGATAATTTGCATTTAACAGATAGTCAACCGTGTCTTCCTTCGTTGCTGTGAGGTCAAAACTGACTGACTGTCACTGGCGACGACACATGAACAAACATGAATTGACAATTCGGTTCAGCCCTGTTATGAGCTAGTTGGCACAGTGGTAAGACACCCTTCATGCGATGGGTCCGGAGTTCAAATCCCGATCGGGATGGTGGACATGTAGGATTATTAGAAGCTTTCACAAAATTCTGGTATTTCGATAGGTGTAATAGCCTAAACTGGTCCACCATTTGCACGACTTGATTGACCCGAGCATCCGATTTGCGCAATCTTTTTATTTGATGTGAAGGTTACCGTCCACCCGAGTGACACTGTATAATATCTTAGCTTTTGCTTGAAATCGGTGTTGGTGATGATCACGCACGCGGTTAAGGTCACTAACTTATCGCCCCATAGGACGTGTGTTCAAATCCCACCACTTCTGCCGCCTGACGTTTGCCATTTTCTGTGTTGCATGTCATCCCTTTGAGCGGCCGCTTCATACTTCCTAAAAATTGTATCATTTAATGCAATTAACAAAAGGAAATAAAATAAAAATAAAAACTGATCACTCAATAATCCAGTTATATGCGCTTCTAAGCGTCACGTATCTCGTCCATTTAATGCCCATCGGGCCTGTTATCGATGAATTGAATTGTTAGTGCGAGGCGCCGATTTCATCAACAAAGAGGAAGTTATCGATTACGGTTGATTTCGGTACACAATCAGGTGATTTCTGTCCCTCTCTCATTAAAATAGTTGTAACAGTACAGCGCAGAATTTGACAAGCACGTACTAACAATCCCTGATTGGCTACTTGTTAAAGGCAACCATTGTGTATTTTTGAACAAAATAAGCCTAAATGTTCATGCCAGTCTGCAACAGTTGTGCAATAAATTATCCCATGGAAACGCGTAGATGAGTTTCTCTGCACCGTAATTTAAACTAAATATCCGAATGTCTGAATTAAGCTTCTAAGATAATCTCCGCAGAATTCTATTGGGAAGCCCTGCTTAAAATGAACGTGCGTGATGATTGAGTAAAGCCAACACAAACAGTCAAAAATAGCCGGTTTCTATGGTTGTTAACAACAGACAAGCTATACGGAAAATAGACCGTTTTCAGTGGACACTTTGTGCACGAAATGGAGCCTTTCTCGTTACTTGCTAACAGCTGAAAACGAAAGGCATTTAATCAAATGCACTATTCCGGTCTGCCTGATGTGGTCGTCATGTGAGGAACGGGAATCAACCCCCCTTGTTCTATTCTAATTTATCCACCCAATCATCACGTTTGAACAACGCAACTGATCAGGTTCACGATGTGTAGTGATGATGTTGATTGCTCATCTGCTTCCCTTTTTGTCACTACCGTGGCGTTTGCTATACGTGTTTTCTTTATGTGGAATTCCTGTTGTCGTCAGTTACGGTGCTGGCATTGTCAGGGTCCTAAGATTGATTGTGGCCTGGTGGTAAACTCACCAAATTATCTCCCCGAGAGGATCTGTTCGAATCCCATCNCCCATCACCCCACCGTCTAGCAGTCCCCATTGTGTGTGTGTTGAATGGCGACCCTTTGATTAATCGCTTCTTCCTTCCTGAAAATGGTATCTTTGCCCATTCAATAAAAGGAAGTAAAATGAAAAGAAAAAAGAAAAACAAAGGCAAGATATTTGTAAACGAAGTTCTTCTTAGTGAGGGTTAAAATAACTTACGTATGTCTCTAACAGAAACGTTGTCACCAAAAGAAACCTAATTATCTCCTACTGTTTTTAATTTATGCGACGGAATGGCTGAGATAGAACCCCAACCTGAACAGAAATAGTTTCGCCAGTAGATCTTCGTGTCAAACTCGGTCGAGGGCCTTTGAGATATCAAACGAAACCAAGTGTGTTTCTCCGTCGTTTTTAAGTGAAGTTGACCAGGATTGTGAGACAAGATCCAGCAGGTCACTGGTGGAACGACGCTGTCGGAAGCCATACTGGCGATTGCTCAGTAGTCCTTCACATTCAAGGAACGTGCGTAGCTGGTCAGACATTATAGTTTCAAATATTTTCGAAAGAACAGATGTGAGGAAAATGGGTCGGTAATTGCTGGAGTCAGAAAGGTAGTCGCGTTTGGGAATAAGAAGAATCACGGCGTGTTTTCAGGGGATTGGAAAGAAAGAAGGAAAGATGAAGGGAAAGACTGAAAAGCCGACGTAATATAGGAGCCAGCTCGGGAGCACACATTTTGAGGATGATGGATGGAATACCATCCGGACCGAGTGGTTTGTTTGCGTTTAGAGAGCGCAGTGTTTGACGGATTTTCTTATTGCTAATATGAGGTAGAAAAGGTTTGCCAGTGATGAAGGAGGGTGAAGGTGCAGAAAAATGGGTAAGGTGGAATTGGCGACAAACTGGAAATGAAATACGTCAGCTTTCTCTTGTGGTTGACATACAAGATCACCAGAGGAATTAAAGATTGGGGGAATTTGGAAGGGCAACAGTTACAGGAGATTGCTTTGGCAAAGGACCAAAATGTTCGGTTACCGGTGACGGACAAGACCAGGATTTTGGCTTTACGGCGAACGAAGCGTTCTTTGGCTCTCTGAATGGTCGTCGAACATCTGTTCCTAGCTTGCACGAAGCGATGTTGGTAGTCTGCTAGCGGCGGAAGGCGGAACATTTTAGGCGTACAGCACGGTCACATGCATGGTTAAACCACTCGGGGGATTTGGGTTTGCCGGTTTTGGAAAAGTGCCGAATAAAAAGGTGCATACATTGAAGAACAGTGTCGGTGAATTTGAAAACGTCCGAAGAGAAACAACAGTCGTTCCAGGGATAAGCAGCTAAGAAATCACAGAGACCGACCCAGTTGGCTGAGTTGTAGCCCCAGAATATGCGTCTCGAGGTGGTTGGTGGTCTGGGGCTGGTAAACCTAATAGAACAAGAAACAATACAGTGATCCGATGAGCCAAGTGGAGGGAAAGTACCAATATCTGAGAAGAAAGAAGGGACCGAAGTGAGAATTAAATCGAGAGGGTGGGCACGATCACCGGCTCGCTCAGGGACACGTGTATGGGAGGTCAACAAGTTGGTTCAGGTTGTTGACCAAAGCGAAGTGTTCGGCTTCGCGCCCCAAAAATGAACCAGCAGATAAATGTCATTCAGTCCTGATGATGAACGTTGAAATCCTCCAAGGTGATAACGTGACAGTTGGGGTCGGTTGCAAACAAGTGTTCAATGCTCGAAGATAGAAAATCAAAGATGAGGGAGTCGCAACCATTTGGGAAACGATACAGAACACAAAAGTAATGAATAAAGGAAGATAGTCGGAGTTTCAGCCACATCAACTGAAATTCACTGTAGTAAAAGTTATGATTTTGGATCCTGGAAGCGATTGATTGGTGAATAAAGGTACAGCTACCAGCTTTGGGTACAAAGGAGGAATGGAGAGTGTAGTTGGGGAATTGAAGGTGGGTGGTGTCTGTGGAGGGGGAGATTTATGTTCCGGTAGAAAAAGGACGAGCGAAGAATAAAAATAGCGAAAATGGTGTACAGAATCAGTATTGAGGTTCAGTCCGCGAATGTCGATAAGGGTGGTGAGTGCTTAGAGTGAGTGACAGTGGAGTGAGTGTATATGATTTTGTATTGTCATGTTTATGTTGTGTGAAGGAAATCGGCAACCGTGATCCTGAAACTTAGAGTGGCGGACCACATAAGGCTTTAATAGATCAGGCGTGGTAGTGAGCTGGGAGACGGCAGAGCCGCCTCTGACCCGAAAGTCTAATGCGATTTATAGGACTAAGTCCCCTTGTCAGTGCTTTCATATCCTCTTGCCAGGTTTTAGTTTGGTCACCGTTGGCCTTGTCTGAAGCACTGCCCACTTCAGCCAACATTGTACGCCGAGGGGCTTATCGAATGACGTGCGTAGCACATGCTCCAACAATCGTAATTTATGGAGGTTCCTAACTCAATGGGCTTACTTTCTGCTCCCCAACCTCGCAATTGCTTTTTGGTTTATCTCACGAGGTTTGTCCAGAGTGGCGTAGACAACAGTATTCGCACACCGACAGTCCGTGCGCAGCACCTCTTAGGTCCTATTCAGATAGATTTACCTGTATAAGCACGATGGAGTCATTTCGTTTTCATAAATTGCTACCAATGATTTCAATATTAGTAGATATAGCACCGGCACTCTGTTCGCCTGAAGAGTTCCTGTCCTAACAATTCCAACCAACTTTGTGACATCAAGCTTGTCAACCTCTCACCCTGCACCTGTATTTTCATCCAGAAGGCGGTGGCACACAGAGAAAGACTCATGCCAAATCTCTTGGTTTTGTCGCACAAGAAATGTAACCACCTGGTTTTCCAAGAGGTCTTTGGTAGTCGCGTTAAACTCGGCTAACTCTTAAGACAGTTTTAAAGGTTTTCCCTCACGCTAATCGTTCCACGGGATTTTTCACATGTAGACTCACCTCATCCCCCATTTGAAGCGACTGCACAAACACAACAGGTGGACGGTGTAACTGAACGTGCTCAGAGCCGGACAAAACGCTCATTGGTTTGTTGAGTTGTGTCATATAGCCTATCTTAACTTTAACTGAGGAATTGAGCCATACTAATTAACACTGGTGGTTTTCACCAGCTAGATGTACTTTTGTTGTAGAAGTGGATTGTTTCTGTGACAGGCACTTCATTCAACTTTAACCCGATTTTACATCATCATCATTTGTTTTTATTCATATTCCTTTTGTCCCTCCCCACACTATCTACCGCCGCTAGCCCGAACGTATCCATCCGGATCAAACTGCCAATGGGTATGACATTCGATCGGATGTGTGGAGCTTCGGTATAACCATGGTCGAATTGGCCACGGGTGAATTCCCCTATCCAAAGTGGGATTCAGTGTTTCAGCTCCTTACCTACGTCCTGAAAAATGATCCACCAAGCGTTCCCGAACGCCTACCGAGACCAGGCGGCGATATTGTTATCGATCCGGCCGTAGAACCTGATAACTGGGAATTCTCTCCGGAATTTCGTGATTTTGTTAATCAGTGCTTGCGGCGTGATTTCCACGAGAGACCTAAATATCAGGCTTTAAAGGTACGTGCTCCACAACAACATTACCGGACATGTGATTTATTTACGAGAAAAAGTATTTTCCTTACATTGTGCACATCACGCGCAACGATCACGAAAGTTTCTTGTGCATTTACTCATTAGCAGAAAGAGGCAAACATCTCTAGATAGTTAGCGCTAAGATAGCCAAATGCAAATTACCTCAACGTCCGCGAATACGGTGGTGGCGCAGTGGTTTAGTCGTTGTCATAGACGTTCTTTGGACCCTATGGTCCGAGGTTCGAGCCCTACCACAACCGCCCAACTTTGGTGGTAGGCAGCTTTGCTGTCGTCCGGTCCGATACGACACCTAACCTATCGCGGCATTGTGTGGTTCGCCACTCCAAGTCCCGGGAATTAGGTTACCGGTTTCCATCAATGAACAGCAGATCCTGGTGACTATGGGGTTTTCCCCGTCTGTTGTTCATCACACGAAAGTGTGTAATAAAAAATTACTGTAACTCTGAACAAGTAAGGAGACGGCCAACGGTTGACCAACGATTTATCATTACCTCGAACTTTGAACGTGCTTTTTTGCTACTCAGTAGTTCGTGTCTTTTTTGTATCCCATTGTTTTTCTTGTGGTGATTGATGTAAGAAGGTTTTCTCGACTAAAACCTGAACTGCATCAGTGATAATAAAGTGCCATAATACTTCCACCGGAAAAGCTGCGTTCATAATGAGATAGGTACGCTCCCGGGTCTACTGCAAGCTTGCCACAATGTGTTATAATTCTACAAGGCGGTGCCCGATCCAGGATAGTCCTTTTTTGCGGATTGCAGTTAGGATATCAATTATTTTGGACGCACGGGCGGTGGTGGCCCGGTGGCCCCAGAGGACGAGTGTTCGAATCCCACCAACACTGCCTGACTTTCCCCATTTGTGTATTGTATGGCATCCCTTTGATTGGCCACTTCCCCTTCCTGAAAAAATGTATCTTTGTGCATTCAATAAAAGCAAATAAAATGAAAAGAAGAAAAAGAAGATATAACGAGATGTCTCCTTTGAAACATGTTATCACGATTCCAGGCAGCACACAAGGTAATAAATGGAACAGTCCGTAATTATTACTTGGGGCACAGCAATGCGCTTTAAGTGGTCATTTTTGATCGTTGAAAAAACACCCCGCATAATTTTGCATGGTACTCGCAAATGTGAGTAGCATACCACAACACCAGTAATGCCGAGCGGTTTGTCTTTTGCTATCACTGGGTATGGGCTGCCAGAGTCTAGTAGTATTTTAGCACAAGATTGATAGCTTTGTCTTCCAGACCCGACCGATCCGTTCATTCATCATGCAGATCCACATGTTTTTATTCGTTTGTTTCTCCTCTCGCATTCACATCTTGCAGTTATTCATATTGCCCTCTTTAATCCCGACCTAATTTTTTCCCTATCATTACAGTCGCATCCATTTTTCCGCCGTGCTCTAGCTGACCCGGTCAACGTGAGCAAATATTTTACTGCTGTGCTCAGCAAGATTCCCCCTAATACCAGATTGGAAGATCTAGTGGACACTAACGAATGGTAGAAGTCTCTGTGGTATCGAGAAATGGGGATAAATATACACGGTTTCACTCTATTCGACCGCGAACGGCAGCAGTCCATTCGCCCGATTTCTCCTTCTGTACCCCCCGCGCCCGCCACGGATTCCCCTTACCCTGACGCTATTGCTGACCCATCACCTGCGCCACTCGCTTCAAATAGCCACCACCGTTTCTTGTTCTTCTTCATTTTTTAGATTTTTGAGGACTACATCTGTTTTCTTTGTCTAGCGCTTGGTGCACAATACCCGTACTCACCCGATCCCTTATTCACGCACATCATTCACACTGTTCGTATCCGCGATTTCCCTAGTACTATTTTTACTTAAACTGTTACACCGTTGTGCGTGTCCATTTTTATCTATCGGAGGACCCAGTCTCGTGATAATTGTTCTGTCTACCGGTTTTGTCGATGATCGGTCAACAAGACAACTATCTTTTATACCACATCTTCCTCTCTCTCTATTTCCGTGTGTATGTTTATGCGTTGTGCATTCAGTCCATCTCTTCATGTAAATCATTTCACCCTCATACTACAGTACCGGCGCCACACAAATCATCCCCTCTTGTCCCGGTTCTATTGAATTTGCGGAATTACGTGAATTTGTTTTTTAGACATCGACTTGTTTAATTGACCGATCTCAACCAAGATACCTGACCTAAGTCACATCCGTCTAAGTTGCCATGTTTACAACCCTGAAACTTTATGTTCGTACTTTTCTCTATGCCTTTTCCAACTCCTGCCATTCGAGGCCTGTCCCGGTCTATCTACGCCATGCATTTCCTTCCACCCGGAGGCCATTTATTATTCAAGCATACTTGTTGTTGTCGTATTCTCCCTGCACTTCGGCCCGGTCCTATCACGTGATCCCATTGTGGATGGTCTTTAGGAACACAAGTTTCATCTTTCTTTTGGTCGCTTTTCACTCGACAATCGGTGCATGGATATCGAATTAATCCTTATCTCCCTGCTTGTTTTTAAATCCTCCCACCCTCCTCCCATCTCTCTCACGGGATTGGGTCAAGACGAAGCTAGAATAGTTTAATTCGTCTCATTATGTTTACCCGGTCAGTTCTATTCTCGGTTTGTAAGTTCTGCGATAATTCATCGGGCATTTGCCAATGCTTCGAACTGATGATCACCTCACTCGTGGCATTCTTTTCTCGATTCACGTTTGTTGTATGCCAGTTAAGGTCGCCCGTAAGTTTGTGTATAGACTGAGGTTCTGTCATACACTCGCTCAATCTAAAGAGTTGTTAACCTCGCTTGTTGGAGGTTTGCAATGTTTCCTTTTGTCAAAGTGCCTTTTAGCTAAAGTTTGCTGATTAAAAAATGCATGCCCGAACAACCAGGCTAAACATTCTATCCGGTCAGAAATGGTTACAGCCAATTTCCTGTTATGTCGCACCCCTTTAAACATCCGAAAAAGTGAATAGATTCCAGAAACTGTGACAGCATGTTAATCAGTAGCGGTTGCTTTCAAGTAGTATGAAAAATTAATTTGGCTATTTGTGGCAAAAGAAACAGAATCGATGATCAATACGTTACTTCCGTCGTCCGTTCCTTTTTTAAATTATTATTATTTGCAGGTAATGTAAAGCGCAATTCAAATAAACAGCATAGCTTAGTCTTTGTCTACCGAAGATATTCCAATCCTCCGCTTGGCATTGGAACGTACACTCGCAATGTGGTCGTTTTCAAATGGTTATTCATTCCAAAGCGATTTACCTTCCACTGGGAGAACTTTTCCAAATCAATTATAGCATTACGATTTCAGTTACAATGTACGGGTAACACCAAATTGGATACATTGGACCCGCCATGCTCTGAAACGGTTCTGGCTGTAATGTCGTCACAATATTAGTATTCCGCGGACGATTCAGACCACATCCCACGTACGTGATTTAATGTTTAATCCTTTAGCAAAACCCTATTCAAGAGAAACCACGTAATGGAATACAAGTGAAATATCTGTTAATGGGCGCACCTAGTGCATTGACTTCTTCTCCATATTCTAAGCTCCCATTGTTCGCTATGCAATTTTACATGCTTTCCCGGTGAAAAGTGTGTACCATAGCGTCTGTAAACATCCATTCGTTCGTCCGTCCGTTTCTATTGCTGGTGTGTATCGCAACCAATCGGTACATATTGGCATTGCAATTCTAAATATTGTCGCATTCAGCTGCAATATAAGGCGTACTTCAACCAACAGTTCAGCTGGTCCGGCGCTAACCAGCTTATCTCCTCTTGTGTAGCTGAGGCTCCGTGCAGCAGAAGTTCGATCTTGCATCTAAGCTCTGAAGAAAGGAAAAGCAGCAGAACCGGATAGGCTTCCTCCCATCCTTTTCAAGATGCGGGCCGATGACCTCGTGGACTCTATTACTGATTTAATGCGTAACACATTGTCACACGAGCGCATTCCATCGTCCTGGGGTGGATCGCTGATTGTCCCAACTTTTAATAAGGGATCTCGCAACGACTGCGCGAACCACCGTGAAATAAGTTTGATCCCCATCGTCACCAAGTTACTAGCCTCCATCGTACTTCGACTTCTGGCACCGTTTGGGGAAACAAATATCCGCTAACAACTCCCAGGATTTCGACCAGGCCGCGGTTGTATCAATCAGATCTTCACTCTGCGTCAAGTCCTCGAGCTACGCCATACGCACTGTCGCCCAACGGTTGTCGTGTTCCTTGACCTGAAACTTGACTCAGTTGGTCGTGAATCCCTTATGGGTCCGCTCCTTCGCAAAGGAATGCCGCAGAATTATATGAATATACTGAGTTCACTGTACTTGCATACTTCTGGTAGCATAAGGGTCTACGGTGTGTTGAGTAGTTCGTTCGTAACTAGCAGTGGTGTTCGTCAAGGGTGCCGTCTTTCACCGTTCCAGTTCAATTTCGTCAAGTTCGAAATACTGGAGAACGCACTAATTGGTCGCAGAAATGTAGGTATTGAATGGGCATCTGGCGAAATGCTGTGCGATTTGCAGTACGCTGACGACATCGTTTGCTTGTTCGAATGTATGGTGGATGCACAAAGAGCACTTGATAGATTAGCAAGTTCTGTCGCTCCGTTCGGCATGTGCTTTGCACCTTCAAAGTTCAGCGATGCTACAAGACTGGGTGTCGCCGAGTTCCGTTCTGAAACAAAACGATCAGGAATTAGTTGAAGTTGACTGTTTCGCGTAATTGGGTAGCTGCGCGACCCACGACGGTAGCGCTTTAGCGGAGATAACTGCCCGCATTTCCAAGGCTCGAGCAACTTACGCAGGACGGAGACGTGATGTTCCACTGAAGTGAAAAACTCGCGTATACTGCACCACCGTACGATCAGTATTACTTTACGATTGGGAGACTTTGAATTTGCGGGTAGAAGACATTCATCGCCTAGTGGTTTTCGACAATCAATGCTTACGTAGTCTGGCCCAATTGGAATGAAGTGAGCGGATTATTAAATTAGAAGTAAGTCGTCGAGCATTTAGGAACGCATTAGACAAGAACTCGCTATCGCATCGAATTGAGCTCAATAGGCTTCGTCGGTCAAGACATGTTTTTCGTACTCAATATCCTGCTTACTAGCTAGGTCAATCACGGTTGTCGTTTATCTGTTCGCGCAGCTACGTTAGTGCGACAGAACCCATGGATCATCCAAATTTCACTCCTATCCGTCAGACTAATCTTACGGCCGCAAACATTGTCGTCGTTTTGATAACCTCAATAACAAACACGATTCTAACAGATCCCAGATTCCGCACATTGTGGCAGAAGAAACCGGTGTGGAATAACCTTAACTATTTGTCGCAAAATCATCTATCGCCAGTTGTCTTAGGTCGGCTCTGAGCTGGAAATCAACCTGTGGGCTGTTTGCATCGATTGTATGTGACCGTAATTCACTCGAAATCCGAAAATTAGCCAAAGCGAACAACTTGAATTGACTAGGTATCGTCAGCATTTACCTGTTTGAGGTAATTTTCGATGCATTCATGCACATTCATGTTCTTCTTTGCGACACTCAGGTTGGTTAGAGGCGATTTCACCTAGAAACTAGAATTGAGATTTGATGCAATATAGGTGATTTATTCTTGAAAAGACACTCATCAATAGATGCAGAATGCTTGTAATCTTCTATCCGATCGCATTTATCCTCTGTTGGTTACATAACCGACTGATTCAATGTGGGTTTGAACCCCGTTTTTATGAAAGTGTTGTTCACTGCATGCAGATGAACAAATATCAAAGCTTATTTGACCAGATGCATGGCCATGAGAATATCCATCTGGGCATTCATATTGGATTGCCAATTTTCTACCAAAGACAATACTCATTCCGGTAAATATTTTCGGAACAAACATTCAAATGATCAAAGCATATCCCGGTGTATTGCTTGTAACATTGAATGACAGTTT